ATCAAAGAAACCAGACCAAGAAAGCTAATATTGGGTTCCTACTTATGATCCTCAAGTTTATAAACCTAAGAAGTGACAATTTGGGGTGCCTGGGTGGCTCAGTCGGTTAAGCATCCAGCTCTTGATTTTGACTCAGGTCACGATCTCACATGGTTGTTCATGAGTTCAAGCCCCACATCGGGTTGTCGCTGACAGCGTGGAGCCTGCTTAGGATTCTCTCTCACCCCGCTCTCTCTCTGTCCCTCCCCCATTCACTTGTGTAATCACTAGGGCTCTCTCAAATTAAATAAACAAACATTAAAAAAAGTGACAGACATTTATCAGGCATGATAACTCAGAAAACATGAACATGCGTCATTTGAAATATGAATAGAAAGCTGGTACTTTAACAAATGTTATTTAAGCATTAATATGAAACAGAATACTAAGACTGTTTTTAAAAAGAATTGTTTATTTACTGAACCTGGGGCAGATTAGATACACAACCAATTTTAAATGTACATCTTTTAATTCAATTTTGAAGTGTTTTCACACACACCCAAAAAAAAAAAAAAAAATTGGAGTTGCAACAGCTGTCTTAAGGTAAAATACAGTCACCCTAAAACTGTTGCAGTATTTTCACCCAAGGTTGAAAAATTGTTTATCCTGAACATGAAAACCTGTAACAAATTTAAATTAATTATATAAAACTCGTTACTTGTAGCTTTCCCCTTGCAAAGATCCAAAAAAAATGTACAAGTAACTAACATACATCAGTCACAACATAATCCTGGATCACCCCCACACCACAACCAGATGCGCCTTTAATTTTAAACCCATCATCAGAGACCAAGAGAAAGTCATGTCATTTTATACAAAACAAAATTCACATGTGCCAAAAAATAGAGACCCAAGAAAAACAAAAACAAAATCCTAGTACTGACAGTGATGTTCAGTACCCTAATTAAACAGTGGCCAAAATGCCACTGATCAAAAATAAAATAGTGGCTGTATATCACTGCAATGAAATCCAAGAGGCTTTAACCCTTTGGCATCAAAAATCCAGATTTTTCCAATTGCATGAATGCACACACTTCCTACATGCCAAGAGTGGAGAAAGTGGGTGTGCCAGCACAGAAAGAAAAGAGCTACCATTTGCTGCAACACCCAGAGAACTGGCTTTAGGAGAGACTTCTTACAAGGTTAGACAGAAACCAAAAATGGTTATTAGCTGCTTGTGTCATCAACCTAATTGGAGGTGACTGAGTCCTAGGTTCAAAATACAAATTTAGGCGGGGAACACGGTGTTGGGGAAGTCTTATCTTCAAAGCAGAAACAAGACAGACAGGTATAAAAGTAACAACCTGGTGACACCCCAGTCAGAGCGCTGCCAACAGGCTGAGTGGAAAATGTCAAGATTCAGACTTGTTTCTCCTAAGGACTCAACAAAATGAATCTTTAATGACTTGAACTGCAGGTAAGGGATCCAAAGTCATTTTAGTGAAGTACTATCCGTAAAGTACTTGTCTGAACAAACTGCATTTTATCATGAAAACAAAAGGAAAATAGATATAACAGGGACTATATGCCTGTATTTCACTTACAGTGTTTGAGTTCTGAAAGGCCTATATAATGGAGGCAGAATTCAAATAAGAAATTATGCCAATCAAGTGTCAAATTTTCACTATAACTTTCCTAAAAAGGTGTTTTCCCCCAATATCTACTAATCACAAAGAAACATAAGCTGTGAATGTACAGTTCTGAAAATAAAAATGTAGAAACTAATGACATTATTATGACCAAGATGTTTGGTAAACAGTGAATTATGATTTTGAGATCATCAGGAAAAGGCTTTTTAAACAACCCTCCGGACTTCAAAAAATCTCTTCAGGTAGTAGATCTGTCCCAATGTCATGGCAACTAGAACAAGAGCTTCAAAGAAGGACCAAAGGACCACTCTGCTGTTTGTGTTGTCGTTGACTGTGAGGACAAACAAACAAACAAAATTTAACACCAAAAAAAAAAAAAAAAGCATAAGCATCATAAATCATCCTAGTCTTTAGGGAAGGAATATTTTGCACACCATTCAGAGTACTCTAAATATTTTTGTCTTTTGTCCCCAAGCAACTCAACAAACTTAGAAGCAGAAAATTTTAGATTTAAATGGGACCTTAAGGATTCATGGGGTATGGTCAAGCCTGTTCCGCTTATCTATGGGGAACAGAGGGGAAAAGTGACTTGCCCAAGTGACTTTAACCTCTAGGGTTAAAACCCAATACAACCTTCTTTCTCCCTCCCATTAAAATATTCCTACATTATAATCCTTTTTGCTGAATCAGAAAACGGACTTAAAAAAAACTAAGAGATTATTTCAAGATCATACAGTTACCCAAAAAGCACTACCTACCAAGTCAAAATGTGTCAAAGTGACTTTCTCCTTAAACACGTATTTAACAAATATTGAGCATCAATGATGCACTTGGCAGCTGTTCCAGATGCAGGAGGTTTCTCAGTCTCATGGACCACTACTAGCACTTACTACCAACCTGGAACCAGTTTCATGATTTACCCCACTCTTAAGCTAAGGATCTCATCCTTAAAGTAACAGCCATGACCACTCTTTATTCATTTATTCTGAAGCTCAATCTATGTCATATTCTTTCACATTTTCTATCAAATTCTACAGCCCTAATTGTTTTTAATTACTAGGCAGTTTCTGATTTTTCTACAAATGGCCAATACTAAAAACAATTATAATTAGCAAGACAGTAACGGTATAAATCAGCTGAGTGAGTGCATGTTTTTAGATATGTGTGTATCATTTGTAAAACACTGACTAAAATTAAAATAGCTAGTGGACTGACAATCCCTCAAAAAGAAGTGAAAAGCAATG